GCTTATTTTGAGCGCTGAAAAAATAATAGAATATAATTTTATTTTTATATTTCAATATCACAATAATCTTCAAATTTAGAACTACAAGTTAAAAAAAGAACTAACATAAATAAAATACACTTCAGCTAAATACTTCCCAAACCACGCGGAGCCGCAGGTTGCCGACCCCTGATCTAAGGGCTCCATGCAAATTTATCTGTATAGCCTCTGCATTGTTTGAATCCCCATATACCTTCTCTCTTCGTTGCCAAAGAGCTTTATAAAGAGATGCTGATGAAAGACGACAAATCCTGCATAAGTTCCTTAACCCTCTATACCTTAGTAGGCTTCTATTTCAATACTTGAGTTTCCTTTAAATTCCACAAAAAGAGACATTTGATGAACATTCAAAACACCTGCATTTACCAACAAATTTACATTTTCATCATTTGTCTCCTCCTCATCTTCATCTGCCTCCTCTGCCATTAGACATGCAAGCCTCTTGTCTCCAGACAGCTGACAGTCACTTACTTCAAAAACCAAAATTCACTAGCACTGAACAAAACCAGCAGTGTTTACTCAGAGGCAAGTTCGGGGTATCCTCAACAACTCGTCTCATAAGTGAGCTTCGCTGGCCCATATTGGACTTTATTTGAAAAGACAAGCAGACAAGGACACTTCATACACAATGAAGTTTTAACATTTTATAAAACATTTGACATATTTTTAATTCCTAATTTATTTTTAAGTGTTAATATTAATGAAATGCATAAAAATATAATGTATATACAACAATATCTTATATACACGGACAGCAGTAGAAGGTTTCCAGTAATCCATGGCTGTTAAGGGGAAATACGGCATATCCAGCTGTTGCTGTTAAATGGTACAGAAGGTTAAAAGGTTCTTGGTCCATGGGAAAGCTCCTGTGGTGTGCGTGCGTGCGTGCGTGCGTGCGTGCGCTCTTAATTTCTTGAAACTAGGGTTGCATCATATTCTAGACAGGACCTTTTTTTTTTTAACTTACTACTACACTGGTGCGACGGTATGTGCAGTTTTACCCTTACTGCCAGTTAAACCTTTGCTTCATCAGACAAAACTACACAGCTGTGGCTAGTATAATGTGAACACAGTGAAGCTGGAGGATGAACGCAAATTTTTTCCCACTCATTAAAAGTTAATGTAAAGGTTCCTGACAGTTAGGGTCAAAGGATGCTGTAAATGGACCAAATTTCAGTCAGGAGAGCAACTGAGATAATCCATCCACCATACGAAGTTGGTCTGCATGGGCTGGGCTGGAGTTACACCGCGAGGTTTTAAAAACTGAGCTTTAAAACGTGGTGCTGATGAGTAGTGGTAATAAAAACCGAGAGAGCCTGACAGTGATCACTGACTTTTATTAGGGCGTGTTCAGATTAAATGGAACAAGATACAAAACTTGTGTTTTAATAAATGCAGAGTAGAAGCAGGGCTCATACGTCATCACTTAACAAGCGAATTGGCTTTCAGTTTCATCAGTTGAGATATTCTGTCATTTTCAGGAGCCAGCGTATTGTTCCAGCAGAGACGGTGAAGTCACCGGCCTTTACCCCACACAGAACGGTGCCAACGCAGAGTCAGGATGCCTATTCCTCCCCCTCCTCCTCCTCCAGGACCCCCACCCCCTCCAACCTTCCATGAGGTCAGTGACCTGATCAGACAACACACTGCACTGAAAACTGACAAGTTATACACTTCCTTGTAGCAGATCTCTAATTTGACCTGAGATGTTTATATGTGCTGTGAGAGATTTGTTTATATTAAAACATGGTGCAAATGTGCACAAGACGTGCTTGTCCCTGAAACGTTTTTGAATTGTTAAGCCATGGGCAAAGTCAGATATAGAAGCTAAATTACCAAAAGCTGCTACTAAACTATATCTTTGTTTTAAGTCTGCATTGCGAGCTCAAACTTTCTGTTCTAACTAAAGGAGCCGGAAGTTTGTTTGCAAAGTTTTTAACTGTCTCCACAGGCAAACACAGCTCCTCCCAAACTGAGCTCATCTGAGGCAAAAGGCAGAGGAGCGCTGCTGTCAGACATCCACAAAGGCGCCAAGCTAAAGAAGGTCGGCCAGGTCAATGACCGGAGTGCTCCTGTTATAGAGAGTAAGTTTGTTTTATACACAAACTCAAATCCCAGCTGATGTACTGCCTGTGAGTTGATTCAAAATGTCCTGTAAAAGAATCGTTCTTTGTGTCTCTGTGTTAGCCCTGCAACAGACTCCCAGCCTGGGTTAAGGTTAGAGTAGTGACCCTGACACCAGGATGGATGTCCTAAAATTATGTTGTATTTATATACTGCCAAATCACAACAATAGTCACCTGGGGTGCTTAATATTGTACCAAACACTTGCTGACAGTGGGCAGAAAAACTCCGTGACAGGAAGAAAACTCTGCCATCTGCTACGATGTGGTGGGGTGGTGGAAGTGGGGGTGGGGGCACAGGACAAAAGACACATTGTGGAAATGCAAAGTAGGGTATAAACAAATAGATGTTGGGGGGGAAAGGTGAATGACAGCGCATGTTTGTTTTCAATAAGTCGTCTTGCTGTATGTCAGTAATGATGTGTGGTTTAAGAGTTCCCTTTAATTTTTTCCATTGTTGGTGGTATATATTTTAGAAATTTATGTAAAATATGTTTAAGTGGAAAAAGGAAACTGAACTTGACCTTTAAAATGTTAAATTACAGAAGTTTTTTTTTCTTACTCTGCAGTGTAACAGCTTATTCCCATCAGTTTTCCATGATAAAGTCCCAGGTTCTCTAAATATTTGAATATTAAAATGTATTTCTGTTTGTCCCCCCAGAATCTGGAGGTGGTGGTGGAGGTGGTGGAGGTGGCGGTTTTGGAGGTGGAGCCCCAAAGGGAATGGGCGGCCTTTTCCAAGGAGGTGTGCCAAAGTTACGGCCAATTGGAGGTAAAACATTTATGCTATTTAGCACATACGTGTTTGCCCCAGCTTACTGTATTTGGATCATTTTGTCAAAGAGCCGTTATCATTAGTGTGAGTAAATAACAAGGAGAGGAGAGGACACCTGAAGTCAAACCTCTGTCATGCACATTACATCTGTCAGCAGATTATTCCAGAATAAGAAACGGCACATAAAGAGAGAGCATAAAGCTCCTTTGGCTTTTCTCTTCTTATTTTTCTGCCCATCATTTTGTGGTTATAGAAATAAATAATTTGCACTGCTACAAATCCACAATGCTTGGACCATTAATAATGAATGAAAGTCTAAAACTTACTATTTTAGTTGCATGTTAAATTATTGAACTGTTACACTTCATATGCAGCAAATAGCTTCAACCTTTAACTTCTTCTGCTGCTTGTTTGAGATTTTTATAATGGAAGATCTTAGCAGTCAAAGGTGTAGCTCCGTGGAGAAACGTTTCCAGCTAGTGTTAATGTAACCATAAGCTGGTCAAACCTGGTTACCCACCCCCCTCACTAATTAAGCAATAATGTACAGCAGCAACACCACAAGACTGTACTGTACAGTTTAGCGAGAGGTTGGTTTATAAAGCAGTATTATCGACGAATCAGTCAGCAACAGGTCTGACATGTGACTGATTCGTGCAAAAATCATCTGATTGTAGTATTTAACTAAAGGGCTCGGCGATATATCAAATATATTCAATGTATCGTGAAATTTTCCCACGCATGTTGGTTAAAATGGCTTTATTGTAACCATCAAGTATAAGTTACCATGGAAATATTAAGCTGTCTGCGTGTAATTCACTCGGAGTTATTTTTTTCCCACATGCTGCGAATGCATCATTAATCCCCAACCAGGAAAGCTTTCTAGCTGGCACACTGCATGGAGCGTGCGTGTTTATATATTACCTGATAGAGAAAAATATGGTGACAGCGCGAGTTCAGAGCGAGAGTATGAGACTCACTGGGAGTGTTAAGTCATTCCCAATTCCTTATTATTTTGCTTCCAAAACAATAATACTTGCTTCCAAGAAACCAGAGTTGGTTTTTGTTGTATTTTTTTCCCAGTGCACTTAAACACTGCCTCTCTGTCTTCCACACAGACGGTCCTGCTGGTGGTTCATTGGGCAGATCTGCGCTACGCCCCCCGGGGTCCCGGTCAGCAGCTCCTCGTCCTCCCACAGGCCGGTCCACCTCACCGTCACCCCCCAACAAGCCCTCTCCACCAGAACATTCACGCTCACACCGCCCCTCGCTGCCTGACATATCCCACTCCTCCAGCGGTAGCAGTGGGATGAAGCACAGCACCTCTGCACCACCGCCTCCACCACCCTTTAACAGAGGTGGCCGTGGAAATGCCCCACCTACCCCAAGCCAGAAAGCATCTCTTGCACCTTCCTCATCCTCTTACAGCAGAGAGAAACCCCTTCCACCAACACCTGGAAGAGGCCCAGCCCCGCCCAGCAACGTAAAACCTCTGTCCTCCAGCAGACCACCTACTGGAGGCTCTTCTGCTCCTCCTCCTCCCCCGCCATACAGACCACACACATCTGGTGGTGTCTCTAATGGGCCATCCCACGGCGATGGAGGTGGAGCTCCAGAGCTTCCCCAGAGGAATAACTCCCTTCATAAAAAACACACATCAGGAGGCAGCAACCAAGGACGCAGCCATGCCCCACCACCACCTCCATCATTATCATCGTCATCCTCTTCTCAGCAGTCTAACAGACCACCTCCACCTGTCAGAGATCCACCTGGACGCAGAACAGGTACGTCCCAGAAATCTGTCAAAAGTGCAATATTGCCACTCACCACAATTTTTTATTTATTTTTATCCTGTGATTGAAATTCTCTCGTTCATTCTCAATCATCTCTAATTTGACCTTCATGAAACCTAACCTCCATTGTTAACCTAATCCCTTAATCAGCTCATCGTTTGAATGCCCAGATTTACTTCATATATACAATAAAGATATGGCTGAGTGCAAACTCCTGATTGTGAACGTTGAAGAAGACCTCATTATTCTTTATTTTGAGGAGAAATGTTTATAATGAAGGCAAAGCAAGCCTTGGCTCATTATCTCTGAACCTTTAAGGTACAATCCAGGATAATGTGCTGCAGCGTTTTCTACACATGACGGGCTTCTGTCCTCTGAATCTGAAAGTAGTGCAGAACGATACAAAAAATGTGCTTCGTCTTGTTCTGTGTGATGTATAAGTCTTTCTTTTGGCTGCAGCATTTCATCAGGTTCCTGCATCGATTCTTGACAGTAGTATAATATTTCTTATAATTACAGCTGCTTTTGCATTTGGGGAAATGACCTTTTTCCCCCCCCTTATTTTGTCAACAAGTGACGACATGAGGATATTTTAATATGCGGAGCAGATATGCTGTTTTTTGGTATTTGTAAGTATGCTAAGTTGGGTGGATGCCATGTGGATGACACATCTTAGATGCTTCTGATGTTTAAAAAACAAAACTTAAAAAAACTGGGGGATTTAGGACAGCCACACCTACAAAGTGCCCTAGTTACAGATTAAGTTCTCCACGTCTGACGTGTCAAATGATGATTTTGTTTCCGCTTCAGAAAAGATTTATGGCACACTGGGAACAGTCATAATTTGAATTCAAAGCAAATGCACGAAACAGGAAGGCACTTGTTAGCTTGAGTTCTGTCTTGTGATTGAACGGTGAAACGATTTGCTACAAGGTCTCCTGGTTTCTCTGCATTCCTGTAGCCCTGTGGAATATTCCAGCATTCCTGCTCACCTTGTGTTTTCCCCCACACGCACTCTTAATATTAAGTTGCACAGACTTGTTTCAATCTCACTGTTCGTTGGTACTGAAGTCTCTATATTTTAAAAGTCAGTATGAGAACAGATGTTTGGGTTTTTTTCCACTGATGCAGTGACAGGAACTCGAAATGTGTCATGTGGCATATTCTAAGTTGCTTTGTTACAAACAGTAGCATTTTTAAGAAACTATATCATATCTGGTTTCATGATTGGTTATGAAACCAGCTGGAAGAAAGATGCTTGTAACGTGATGTTTCGCTCTGTTCTGCACAACATGCATGCACGTTTTTACTGACTGCTGAGTAACACTTGACTATATAAGTCTGTACTAAATGTAAAACAGTCATGGTCAGTACTTTCATTTCATATTTCTGTTTTAGCCCGTGTGTACAAACTTTGTACGCTTACAAGTTTTATGTTATCATGGTGGGGGGACCCCGGCAACTGATACATTAGACACACACAGACTTGACCAGATTCATTAAGATCACTGCCGTTCATCTGACCCTCAGTATGAATTCGTGATCACTTGTTTGTGTGTGTATGTTGTCCATGCAGCTCCCCAGGCGCCCACCCCTGGGTCTCGTAATGGCAATCGGGATGCCCCTCCTCCCCCACCCCCTTACCGTGGCCATAGCTCAGACTCCAGAGGCAATAAACCACCACCTCCTCCTTCCTCTTCCTCCATCTCATCTTCCTCCTCACGAACCCCAGCTGGACCCCCTCCTCCACCCCCGCCAGTCCGGAATGGTTACTCCTCCAGCTCCTCCTCCAAGTCCATCATAGGTGAGTGCGAAAAGACTGCTTCGGCAGCATCTCCTTCATATTCCACTGTTGACAACTGCTAAATAACATCAGTTTTTAAAATCCTACTGAATCTAGTTCAGTTAGATCAAATGGTGCCACAGTTCACAGCAGGCAGAAACAAAGGGATACAGGATTTCACCATTCATCAAGTTAAAATATTTATAATGAACTTAGCAAAATGATAAGAAAAGGATAACATCCCTAAAATTGTGACTTCAAAACTGTTATGTATAAATGTCTCTCTCCAGACATTGTTTAAATCCTAAAAAGATGAGCTATAACCATCCCAGTGTTACGTGTGAAATCTTATTTACATGACTTTGCTCACAGGTTAGACCTAAAATGGCTTAAATGTAGCTCATTACCTTTTTGCCTGGTTTTGTATGTGTGGAGGTATTCAAATTGGACCCTGACACCTCCATCCACACCCATCCTCTCTCTTTGAATTTTCTGCTACAGTCTCTTTGCATAGCAGCACTGGTGCACACAGACAATGTGTGTGTTCTGTTAGGCAGGAGTGGAAAACCCAGTGCTCCATTTGTAAATCAGCTAAGAACACAGAGAGGGTGCTGTACATGCTTCAGAAAATCAACCATAACTGGAGCACGGTGGACAACAGCTCAGTGCTTGCTGTTTAAACCAAACTGTGATCACAAACAAAGAGTTTACATGAATCCACACTTGCCACTACTGCAGACCCACACAAACACAGGAAATGGCCAATGAAGGCTAGTGCAACAAAATGCACTGTGAGATAAGCAGAAATGAAGATGGATGAACAGGAGGCTGAACCAGATTATCATACTGCTGATAATCTGGTACTAATCTTGGATAAACAAGCCCAGCCTGTTATAAGTAAATTGGTTATCCATGGTGTTACGACAATGTTGGTAGGAATACATTGTGATTAAGAGAGCATAACTACAAAGCCAGTTTATGTTTATCTCACGGTCTTACGTGGCTGCCGCAACACAAAATGTGGCCTTGTAAGGGATTGTGAAGTTGGTTTTCCCAATAAAAACTTAAGACTGGAAGTCTGAAACTCACCAGAGTCACTAGAAGAAAAGATTTTGTGAGGCCTAGTAAAATAAAAGTGTTCATATCCTTATGGGGTTGGAAGGACAGTTTTGCCACATGCACTCAAAAACTGTCATTTATAATCAACAGTATGGTTGAAATGTTGAACACCTGGTGTCGGGGTTGGTAGGGTTAGTAACCTGCTAACTAGATCTTACTTCCAGGGGATTTGTGCCAAAGAGTCTTTTTGCCGGGAGGACGAACGGCAGCCGCTCGTGTTTTATGCCTGTGTAAATGTGTCTGGCCTACTGCTATAGTGTTGAACTAGGACGGTGGTTTCTGTTAAAGTTAAGTTTAAAGTGAATGATAACTTTTTGGTAATTACATTTAAATGATACTTAATTACAGTAACTGTGTAACTCCCATTTCATCCCCATTCTGTTTTAATGGAACGGTTGATAGTGAGGCAGATGAGGACCAAAGTTCCTTATCTGAGGCACTGTATGGTTTTTGTCGAGGGAGGTGCCGATGATTTCTCTTGAGATGATGTCCTTATGCAGGCAGTAGGAGATGGAGAGGAAGAGGAGAGAATGTTAAATTGTCTTATTGCTCCATAAATGGCTTTCAAGTGGACTTTGGATGTTTACCCCTCCTTTGATCCCTGAAAAGCTCGGATAATGTTTGAAAAAACATCTCTCTTAATTTCAGTAACTTTGGGCACCACCAGTACAACTTGAGCTATATCTCTGAGTGTCAACACTACATCCCCAAGTGTTGGTACCTATCTGAATGTGGGGTTCGATCTGACTGCTCTTTTAAACAGGAGATGAAATGCTGAGGCTTATATAAATAGCTACTACTTTTTCTGCTGCTTAACTACTGAAATTTGTTTATGATCTTGATGCGATGGAGGTGACGGTGACGAATCGCCGTTGATAGTCAAATCTCCACTGACACTATGCAAACTACCTTTTTGGTTTCCTGATTTGTCCACACATCAGGAAACCAAAAAGGTAGTTATGGGTGGTTCCTAGATTACTACTGAGGCTTTGTGTACTTACTGTGTCAAACTTAAGAATTAAAAATGATGATAAAACCAAATCACTATTTATGTGGTTTGTATAAAGGGAGCATTGAGGCTGCAGACCATGGGATTTATAGCCTAAGATAGTTTGTCATCCTGTCCCTCAGCAACTCTTTCAAACTGAGTAATAAATGTCATAAGAGAGCACAAACAGTCATTGCTTGCATGTCAGATGATTAGGGAATAAATGTAAATTCTCGACATCCCAACCACTACAAGAAGTAAATCATCAACCTGTAGGAAAGACTTTTTTTGTGCACAGTTTGACAGAGCTGGGAGCTGAGACAAAGTACGACTTATTTTATTATTTGACAAACCAAAGAATACCATTTATTTTTGTTGTCTAGGCTTGATGGTTGGAGTTTGTGGCTGTAGGGAAGGCAAAGACGTTGTACGGGTGATCTGTAGTGGCTGTAATCTAAAAACTGAGATGTGACTGAGCTCTGTTGATAATACAAAGGCAGGGACCAGTGACTACAGACTGAGAAGAAGGAATAGGGTAAAAACCTTCATGCTCATCAGCTAATTGTTTGAAAGAGGGGTTGAAAGATTTTTATTTTTTTATTTTATTTTATTTTTTATATTGAAAAAACAAAAGCAAACTTCTGCCTGGTGGTTTAAAGTACTCCCTCTGTCAATGTATGTAGTGGTAATCTGTTCCTTAGCAGAGCTTAATATGATGTGAATATAACCTCAAAGGAGCTACGAAACATTTCATATTACACAATGTCATTATTTATGTAACAAAAACTAAGCCATATTGCAGAAGCAGTGTTTTTTTTGTCTGTTCTTTTTAAACTAAGTGTACCCCTAATAATTCTATAGGAATGAAAAGGGTAAGGCTTATTAAATGTACTTCATTAACTGATCACCAGCCAGTGTGAGCTCACCAGTAGAAGCAAATGTTTTGCAGCTTGCTTGCCTGCAGCATTCAGGTATGTGGTGACACAAGGCCAAGGAGGAAAGACGTAAATAATGATTGAGGAACAAATGTTGCTGCCTCGAAATGTCTGGCAATGGTTATAAATCATTTGAAGTCCATAATTCTACAGTGAACAAGGATACATTCAACACCAGTACCAGTCTTCCCAGGAGTGGACATGAGTGGACAAAATTGCAACAAATCCGAGAGCAACACTTGTCAGACGCTACAAGCCTCAGAGCTACAAAATGTTAAAGTTCATGAACATGCAGTTAGAAAAAGACAACAAGTGTGAGTGGTCTAGAAGGCATAATAAAGCCCCTTCTTTAAAATAACATGGCATGGGTTTTTCTAGGAGAAACATTACGAGAAACATAACAATAATTTCAATAGTTTAGACACAAATTATTGTATTATCCTGTTAAATGAACACTGTATATTAACAGTAAAAACAAGCAGGACTGATGATCTTTGCTGCCTAGTGCCAGCATTAATGATAGTTAGTGGCTTTGGCTAATTAATGTTAACTTTTAAAAGAGAGAAAAGACGGTACATAGATTTAGAAACGCTCTTATATAGATGAAACTCACGTGAAAAACATGTTTGTCTTTTATTCTTTTGCACTGTGCTTATCTCTGTTTCAGTGCTATGTTTGCTGTTTCACATGTTTAAAGGTTTAAAAAACATAGCTGCCAGCTGTGGGTAATTGCTAAGAATGAAATAATCTTAATTCATTAACAATAACGTTTATGATGATCAGGTTAAAATTTGATGATGATGGCTGTTTAATACCTCAGTATTTTTAATATAAGAGCTTTACTGACCTCGCAAAAGTTCTCATAAACACCGGGGTGTCAGCCTTTAACATGTTCACTAAGTCTGTTATGCTGTTATTCACATCTGTTATGTTGTGTGTCAGCTGAAGGAGAAGATGATGTTACTCTGGGTGTATCAGTACTGTTGCAAATGAGTATGCAAGCAGTAAAAAAATCCATTAAAGCATTTGTTACTACACTTTGGTTTAGGACATGATCTCTTAGCCACAGAAGTTTGAGATTTAACTTTTTCATTTTGCGTTAGTAGTAGTCATAAGTTTTAAGCAATTTAAACTGTCCACCGCCTTTTCTTTGTAAAACAAATGCAATTAATAATTAAAACTTGTGACTTGATGTGTTGGCACATTTTAAAACGTTTATGTTTATTCTCCTTCCTCCTACAGATGATTTTGAATCCAAGTTCAACTTCCACCCTATTGAAGACCTTCCACCTCCAGAGGAGTACAGGCCTATCAACAAGGTCTACCCCAGCAAGACCAACACGGGTACGAGTAACACTATGAAGCACATTGCTCTCTCCCTCCACTTGACTTGTTTTGTCAGTAATAATAAGACACTGCATTCTCATGGAGAATATAGTGTTATTGTCAGACACGGTCACTTTATTTACCCAGACCTCATGTGCTAAACACTTAGAACAGCAGTAAAACAACAAGGAATAAACAAGAAGAAAAGGTTATGATCTGTGTGGTATGACTGAAGCATGACCCACAGTGTAAATGTAACACAATGCCAGCTCCCCTTAAGATTCAGTTAAGTCGTGGACAATTGTTTTATTGCCATATAAACTGCTCTGTTTGTGTTATGTGTCAGGATGCGGCCATATAGGAAGCTGGGTTTCATGAAAAATTACCCTGAGCTGCTGTGTGTGTGTTTAGACACTATCCTAACAGTTTGGTTTACATGCGTCTTTTAGAGCTGTTGGCACGTGCTCCACATGCTATGGAGTTGCTCTGGAAAGTGTCTTCCCTATAAATTCAGTGTTATTATAGCAGCATTAACATAATTAATAATTACTAGAAACTAGTTCTTCTTCTCTGCCTATAAAATAAGTATATAATATGCACACACCTAAGTGTGAAAGCACTAATTAACAGGCAATGGTAATTTGCAGTGTAGGAAACAAATTGTCTTCTTAAAATATTGATGTGATGTCTTTATGATGGTAGTATCCTGCCACAAATAGAAATGCTAACATTATATTATACACATATTCAGTGACTCACACAAGCTGCAAACGTATTCTGTTTTTTTACAACATGCCAAAAGAGAACGGTATAACGCAACATTGACCTTTGTTTCACAGTAAAGGTTTACCACCAACTTAATCACAGCTTACCTACTTCCTTATAATGACTACTTGAGTTTTGTGAAACTAAATATTAACCTGTTGAGTTGGTGAGGGGGGAGGGGGGAGTTTAAGTCTTAGGAGCCATGATGTTTCCAGGTTGACTCAAACGCAGGATTATCATCTCAGCTAAGAGATTTATTGGAGACAGTCTTTGCATTTCTAAAGTTATCAACGCTGAATTCACAAATCAATTTCATGAAAATGGAAACGAGGGCAACAGTTTTAGCTTCTTCAGTGACCTACCGGTGTATAATAAACATTAGCAAACTGCTGTTGATAACGCCATGCAGTTCAGTTAGTAACACAAGGATGTCATTTGTAAAACCATGTCAAAAGTACAGCTGTAGATGATGCCTTCCACCTTTGGCTTCTGGGTAACAAGGAAAAGAAGTACCTTCACAGAGCTCCCTGGTTGACAGAGCTAACTTAAGATTTTGATCTCGAAAATTACAGCTTATTAACTCAAAATTTTAAAATTTCTAGTGTACTGTGGTTGAAAATGGTTCTCTGTGAGTCGTAAAATAATAGCGGATCTTCTGTCAGGGGTTAAGGTTTTAAAGATTTATTCATTGAACTGTTTTTTGGTTTTGAACTTCTGTCACGTTTCCAGCTTTCTTCTCAAAATGTACAATTTATGCCCTTTAGACCAGTGTGAGGACTGAGCTGTAGTTAACTTTGTCTCTCCACCTTCTTTCCTCAGCCGTAAGAGGAGCTCCTCCAGCGCCGCCAGTGGGCAGGTGAACAGACCTCAGTTCGGGACTTGAACTGTGTCGTTGAGGAGGAAGCGGTGAAGCACTCGAATCATAAACACACTACATCACAAACATACACTAACATTGAGCCACCAGCTGGAAGCATCAAGGTGAACACAAAGGAAACACTACTACACCACGCAGGTTTGACACTACTCAGCGGTCACTTTCAGTCTTTGCACGAGAGAACAAAAACCACTGCCTGGGACCACTTTGATGACGACTCTGCTGACTGAATGCAGAGGCTTCTGTTTCACGCTACATATCGGGACCAAACTCCGAACACTTCCAAATCTCTGCATTCCATCTTTTTTATGCTTATTCAGAATAATAATAAGAATAGTTGTGATTTTTCAGAATAACATATTTTCTTTTTTCTGTTATGTTATTGCTTTTTGGTGTCAGCATTAATTTGTAGGGAATATGAGCAGATAAACTCAAGTTTTTCCCTAAAAATTTGTACTGCCACACATGTGGGGCTTATTGTCGGTTTGTTAATTAGTATTTGTCTTGAATAGCCATTCCATCAGTGCCAGGTAAAGGTGTGCTTGAGTCGGTGTGCCAAATGCAGGTGGAGTCTCACGAACGGTTCACCATGACAGCAGTCGCCACACACTTGTTCTGACATTTATAATTCTTTGATTGTAGTCTTGCCTGTTTTTGTAACTCTGTCCTGTATCTGGGGTTGTTCATATTTGCATCTTCAGATGATGTTGCACAGCAGCTAAACTGCTTAACCGAGACACTGTGCATGACCCTGACATACGCACCTTCAACATCAGGACTACATCATGTTGATGCAACATAAAACTGATTTGCCCCTGATGGTTCTGACAGGTTTCCTTCACATAGCCAGCATATTTCTTCAGGCTCACTGTGGGTTCTGTGTGGGCCACATTTTAGTCCAACACTAATTATTTGTTTACTGGACCAAGGTTTGCAGACCATTTTTGGAGGAGTTTACAAGGGATCATCTCTGTTTTCGTAGGAATCTTCTTCAAGGGAAGTTGGTCTGAAAGCTCAGCTCTGCTCTGATTCATGATTTGCTGCTGGTGGCCCTTTCGAAGAAGGACCTCATAGCCAGAGAAAGATAATGTGTTGTTGAATTGCTATGCAAGCAGCAGTTTGTAGAGATTGTAGATGGTAGCAGCTAACCAAAAACAAAAATCTTAAAAAAAAAAAAATGCAGGAACACTTAAGTGCCAGAGAATTGTTGGAATATATATGGAGGTCCTCTCTTTTCTCCCTTTGAAAGCATCAAGCTTCACTTAAAACACTAATGACATCATTTTCTACAGTGCACAGCACAAAAAGTGAACAAAAAGCTCCTGGCTCAGGTCAGATTGTCCGTTCTCAGTGATGCAGCGCCTCCTGCTGGTATTTGCCTTACACAAATCTGTTGTCACTCATCGGTACCAGTGATTAGTTTTTTGATGATGATGATGACGACATATATTGGGGGAAGATGATGACAACGGAGTAAATAAGAAACAAGTCTATTTGAAAATGCAATAAATATTGTATATTTACTTTAAGGAATATGGTAATCATAGTTATTGATCTATTTTTATGTTGTAAAAAGCTTGTACTATAGGAAAAGACATGATTAAGAGTTCTAACAATGTTCCAGTGGGTGAGCTTTGGTCTGACAGACTGGATTCTTGTTGCACTTCTCTGGACATTTGGCCATAAAGGTGAATGAGCTGAATTGATGTATGCGAGGTTTTACCAATGAGCCAACATTTTTGGGGTCTGGTTTTCAAAAAATCAGATCGGCAGGTAATTTAGTGAAGGTGATAAGTGATGCACCTCTGCTTCTTTTTCTGGATCATGTTCACCTTGATACACAGATGACCCCTCTACTTATCTCATGTTCTCACCTTGTCCACTCTGAAAAGCAAAAACCCTGTGGTCATTCACGTTATCAGCCATGTTTTTATCATTTGAAATAATTTCAAATAAATATATTCCTGTTGGGAAAGGGTACCTGATTCATTGTGTCTGTTTCTTTATGCTCAGTTTCTGTATTTGTGGCTTTTGTTGCACTTGTACAATGTTTTACTAAATTGGCTGTCCTTTGTGCTTTCTGCTCTTTCATGTAGTGGACGCTTGGCTGGTGTCGTTTCTCTAAACATTAACACAGCTTAAATCTCATTTAGATAGATTTCTAGATTTCAAGAGCAATAATTAACTGTGCAGTTATTAAGCGTATGGTTTTGTGAAGAGTAACTTTGCCACCACGAACCTGCTAAGGCTTATGAAGAACGTGTAACATTAAACTGTTTGAGACTTGAAAGTGGAATATTTGTTGTGAACATAGTTGTAGTTAGTCCTTGACGTTACACTGCCACCTTCTGAGGTCCTCCAATGTCTATGAGGCTTTGTCCTAAAGTCCTGTTGTTCTCCAGAGTATGTATGTGTTCTTAGAGCCTGTCAAAATCGGAGTATACTCCGCTTGCACTTGCTTCCACTCTAACTCAGACCTAATGTGACGCCCGCGTCCTCGCAATGGCGGGAAATCTGGTATAACGTGATCTGTTAGTCCCACCCACTTTAGCGGACGGCGGGAAGGTAAGACCTGCAGAGGCAGCAAGAGGATGAATATGAGGACTGTTTTAAGCTGACATTTTCATTCCAGGTAAGTCTTTATTGTCAGTGATTTGTTCTCGTTAAAAACAAATTTGGGTTGACTCTTATGAGTAAACCTTGAGGTGTCTGGGATACTTTAATGTGCCTTTCTATTCATATCTAGCTCGTAACTGTCAGTGCAGCTGGGCTCGACCTACCAAAGCCTGAATGTGCAGATATTTTGTAGCGTGTCATACAACAGCTCAAGTTTCTTGTAGTGCAGCTATCCCATCTGTTGGGTAAACTGTGGCTTCAAGAAACAAAATCAGTCAGGTGAAGGTTTGAAGATAATTTTTTTTTCTTATTATCAAAATATCCCACATAATAGAGCTGTGTGAGGAAATATAAAATACCTTAAACTTTTACCTTCAATTCTTTAATGAGACTTCACTTGCAACTAACATGGACAGTATACTGTGTGGGAATCATGTCATACAAACGATTAAAGAGAGTAGCTGCTAATGGCGTTTGTAATGTGGACTGTATGGAACCGCCTTTCGCAGAGGAACAGGCTACTCTAATAACATTGGACCAGCAATTCTTACGTATTGCGTTACAATTATACCAATATTCACGGCAACAGTGACACGTGATGGTTGTTTCCCGAGAGGACGAACCTCCACCCAAAAAAGTATAAACATGTGTCCTAGCATTTCAAAGCGACTGCAGAAAGCAGGACTTCCTACTAGAAGGTGTTTGATATCATAAACCAGAATGTGCTCAAGACACAGTGGCACTCACTCTGTATATTCGCAACGAAGATATACACATGAAACGCCACTGCGTTCTTACGCATGCGTAGCAAACACACACTTCCCTGTCAACCATTTGACAGCCGCCCATTGGCCCTCTCAACTGATCCGCCTCCATTATATGTAAATGTTTCGCGGGAACATTGAAGACGTGAAATAACCTAATCTGTTCTCGTGAGAAGGTTCTGGATATCAGTCCAACTGAGCCCGTATTGAAGTAAAGTTTTCGTATCCTGGTTGAACAAATTTAACTATGTTCGAAAAAACGCTCTTTTTGGCTTTAACTTTCGCGTTGCTTCACACCGGTAAGTGCATTTAAGAGTACGCCACTTTGGAAGCTACACGGACACGGTTATTTTTCTGTTTTGAGCCTAATGTAGCAACACTACTTTGGGTTTCACGGACCCTTTAAAAGAGGTTACTACGTTTTAATTGATCTGTGTGCTATTCAAACTCTCCCACCTCACTCGACTCGTTGAAAGCTAAGGCTAACAGAGCAACAGGTACCTGTGCTCTGTTTAGCTAACTGCTTTTACAGTTTTGAACTTAGTTTTTCTTTTGAACTGAGACCTGATGTGTATATACAGTGTAGTAAACCCAGCATAACGCCACAAATGTCAACGCTAAACGATTGTTGTTATTGTGTTGTGGCTACCTAGGTTGCTTGTATTACCAGTTTAGGCTAAAATCAGAAACTCTTCTTTCCAAATTTGGTGAAATCTTTATGTCTAGCTTCTCTCTTTTAACTTGGAAGATTTTATACTAATTGTATATTTGATGTGGTACACAGTGCAATAAATACCCAAGTAAGCAAGTTCTTGATTGTTTTGCATTCCTCACATTTCATGAGTGAACTGCCGCAGGTTTGTCATTTGTATGGTTTACTCACAAGTGTGTGAAATAATCGTGATATAAAGAGTCTGGCACAAAACAAACAAAAGTCTCTGAAATGATCCTCGTTTAGAAAAGAAAAAGATTATGAGGAACGTGCTGTGTACAATGATAGAAAACTGTTAGGAAGTTTGTAAACTCTGTCAACAAAAAAGCTATTTGAGGTCTTGGGCTGTGATTCAAAATATTGCTTTTGACAACTTGTATAATCAAATAACACACAGGTGTCAAACTCGGGCCCACGCGCCAATTTAGCCCGCAGCCTAATAGACCCTGTGCACGAGAAAATGCTGACTTCCTGGTTTGAGACGGGATGTGGGGTTGTACATTTTCGGTAGCTTTACTTTGCGGTCAATCACTACTGCGAAGATATCCTCCAAAATCATGTCCAGAACTCGAAAACGGAAAGATCGCATTAAGTTGCAAAGAGCAGAAGGTGGGAACACTCACCGCTGTTGTGTCATAAAAAAATCTAATGATCAGTTTTGATGTTTAAAGCGTTTAGATCGATCAGTTGTTTACATCACTCAACACAAGCAGAACTGCATCACTGCAGCAGAAGACACATCGTCCACATTCAGGAGCACATCTCTGTATAGTGACTGGTCTGATGATTTAAACAGGCAAATGTTCAGCATTCAAACTACAGGTGAAGAATAGTCAAACCAGATGTTTCCCCCATAATGTCGAGATCAGCTCGTCAAGTACACACCTGCACAGCATGTTAACAAACCCTGAAAAAAGCCACACAAAAAATGAATGATTGCTGGTAAGGGTTTCTATACATTAGTATTTACGAAGGGTATGTTGTGACTTACCTTCAAAATTACAGCGGTCCCTCGCTATAACACAGTTCACCTTTCACCTCGCTGTTTCGCAGATTTTTTAGTGCAAGTTTGCATGCTTATTTTTACGTCACATTGTGTCCTGCGTCCTGATCGCTGCAGACGATCTCCTCCGTGACGTCTCTCCTGTAC